CGGGCCGCCCTGCCGCCCCCCGTGCGGCCTCGCTGCGCCGCCACCGCCGCCGCCGCCGGGGTGCTGGCCGGGCCGCCCGCGCTCTCCTCCCGCCGGGCCGCCGCCGCCGCCGCCGCCGCCCCGGGCTCGGCGCTGCTGCCCGCTCGCCCGCTGCTGTCGCTCGGGCTGCTGCAGCTGATCCTGGGCTGCTGCATGGTGGCGCTGAGCTTCGGGGCGCTGTCGCTGAGCAGCTCCCCTCAGGTGAAGAACTCGTGTCCGTTCTGGGCCGGCTCCTCGGTGAGTGCCGCGCGCGCCTCCCGCCCGCCTGGACCCGGCCCTTCGCGGGAGGGGGCCTCTGGGGGTCGCCTCCACGGCCCCCGCATTGCGGCCCCCCCCCCAGGGCTGAAGTTGGGGAGCACAGCCCCTTAAGCCAGTTGAAGTTTTTGGAGACATTGAGGCTGGTGGGGGAAAAAAAGGCTCAAAGAGAGAGTAGTTCAGGCATGAAATGGGTGCACCTGGACCGTGTCTGCTCTTCGCAGGCTGAAGGATTTTGTTGTTCTGTCAAGTTAGTAGGCTCAAATAGATTTCCCGCTCTGGGAGGCTGGAAGAATGGGGGTGGGTGGTAGGAAAGTAGGAGAAAAATGATTCAACTTCGGGCCGTTGAGTATTCACTTCTCCGGAAACACCTGCGGGGGGAGGACGGGCATTTGATCTGTTTTGTCCACGGAGGTATCCACAGTGCCTGGCGCATAGCAGGTGTATTTGTGGGATGATTGAAGTGACAACCTGACTGGGGCATGCCATTTATTTTATTCCACTTCAAGGCACACAGAAATGTGAAATGTATGGCGTAGGATGGCTCCACTCTAGCTGGGGACAAGTTCAGGAGGTAATGACAGGGTGTGTGCACACCACGCTGGTACCTGGTCATTAAAGGAGGGCCCTAAACAGCCACTGGATTATTGGAGCCAGGCGGGCTGCTGTGCAGAATTTAATTCTCAAGAACTCAAAGTGTCCTTATGCGTCAGCTCCCCCAAAGCCTCCGGGGCAGGGGGCAGCTCCCTGGAGATGTCTACCCACCTACCCACCTGCCGCAACCGGGCCCTGCTTCTTCTCAGGGGGGAGGTTGCTCTGGGGCAAAAAGGGCCCAGCCTCTGGGGAAGGCTGCTGCCTTCAGTGTCTGTGGACTCCAGGTGGCTCCTCACCCCTCACTCCTAAAATGTCCTAGCATCTAAGGCATCCAACCTCTTGAGGTTTGCTGGGGATTGAGAGACTTGGAAAGACGTTTTTGTGGTATGATTGTGGAAGATGGGTGTTTGAAAGTAAAGGAACTTTTTATGAAGTAACTAAATCTGAAAGCTTGAAGAAGATCCGTAATGAATGTATGTGCCGAATAAACATAAAATAGTCCTTTTGTGGGTCCATGCATACCCAGATTCAAGAGCAAATTTTAAGACCATAGGGAGAACTAATCGCACCCAAAGTAGTTGTTTGAATAAGAACATCAAGAACATTAAGTGCAGTGAGCCCGGCCTGACATTTTATACCTAAATGGATGTCAGTCTGCTCTCCTTTCGAAATGCTTGGACACTGGTTGGGCCCTTGCTGTGGAGTTCACGGTCTGTTCATCGTGCTCTAGGAATCCCTCCCTCTTGGCCCCGCCACTGGGCTCTCCCCATGGTCTCCTGGCGTTTCTTTAAAACAACAGGGTCAGGATTAGATTCATTATGCTCCCTAGTCCACTCGTCAGACTAAATTCAGCCAAATGGTGGATGCATTTCATTGCCCTAAATGCCGTGGACCAGAAGTGAATCTTGCATACACTTGTAGGGATTTTTCCCTTTATAAAAACCGTAATCTTGGGGCGCCTGGGTGGCTCAGTGGGTTAAAGCCTCTGCCTTCAGCTCAGGTCATGATCTCAAGGTCCTGGGATCCGGCCCCGCATCGGGCTCTCTGTGCAGTGGGGAGCCTGCTTCCCCATCTCTCTCTCTCTCTGCCTGCCTCTCTGCCTACTTGTGATCTCTGTCTGTCAAATAAATAAATAAAATCTTTAAAAAAACAAACAAACCGTAATCTCTTGTCCTCTCAAAGATAGCTAGTTTAGGAGGATTTAAACCTATTTTTTTTTTCTCTTCTGAAATCAAACCCCCAAATCAGTGTACTACTGTGAATTACTTCAGAGGTGAATGCCCTTCGATGTCAGTCAAGCCACAGTTGGATTTGATGAAGTACATATAGCTAATAAATAAACAAACAAAATAAAAACGGCTCTTCCTGGACCTGCTGGCTGGGCGTGTCCTTGTTATCTAGGACCCAGCAAAACAGAGCAGGGAAAGATCAGTCACTTGGAACTTTCTTTTCTGTCAGCTTGTTTTCCACACCCCACCCCTCAGCTCTACATGCAAACCTGCAATTGTTCATTATGCTTATTTTTTGGTGACCTGTTTCTGAGGTTGACCGCAGAATTTACAAAGTGTCTGTAGAACCAGCAGAAACTGCGTGTCCAGAAAGACTGGGTAGTATTTGAGCATGGCATTAGCCACCATGACCATGGCGTTTTAGGAAAAAAGTTTCACCAGTAACGTGTACCTTTTGAATTTATATACATGAGAGAGACTTTATGTTTGTGTGTTATTAACTTTGCATTATGGGAATTTTTTTTTTTTTTAAGATTTTGTTTATTTCTTTGACAGAGATAGAGAGAGAGGGAACACAAGCAGGGGGAGTGGGAGAAGGAGAAGCAGGCTTCCCGCTGAGCAGGGAGCCTAATGTGGGGCTCAACACCATGACCCTGGGATCATGACCTGAGCTGATGGCAGGTGCTTAACAACTGAGCCACCCAGGCACCCCTGCATTATGGGAAATTTTAAATTTACTCAAACATTGCTCAGTGAACCCTCCTGTGCCTCTCACCGGGCTCCAACAACTGTTTCATCTCTGCCTCTGGCCGGCTTTGCTGCTGGCTCTGTGTGTTCTGATAGTATCAGAAGGATGAGTGTTTTAAGGGGGGTAGGAATGAGCTCCATGATGATCCCTAGGCCATTTGTTGCATTAACTTCCCACGTTATTTTGAAGCAAATCTCAGATATCACACCATTTCATCTGTAAGTAGTTCAATATGTGTATCATTTTGAAAAGAAAATCTAAACAGAAAGAAAATATAAACAGAATAAGGAGACAGCATTGAAGTGACCAGGCAGGTCTTAAGAGCCCCCCCCCACCCCAACTCTTCTTATGAAAATTTTAAATCTCACCAAATGTAGAAAGAATAGTATAATGAACCCCTATTTACCCATCATCCAGTTTTAGCAGTTAATCAACCCATGACTGCTGGTCACCCACACCCACTCCCCTACTGGATTATTATTTTTTAAAGATTTTATTTGTTTATTTGTCAGAGGGAGAGAGAGCACAAGCAGGTAAAGAGGCAGGCAGAGGCCGAGAAAGAAGCAGGCACCCCGCGGAGCAGAGAGCCCGATGCAGGGCAGGGCTCGATCCCAGGACCCTAAGATCATGACCTGAGCTGAAGACAGTAGCTTAACCCACTGAGCCATCCAGGCTAGTGGTACTAGATGATGATGATGATGATGATGATTTTTTTTTTGGTACTAGATTATTTTAAGGCAAATCCCTGGTATCATAATTTCAGCCCTGAAATATTTCAGTTTGGATTTCTAAAAGAAAGCAGCTTAATAGACAAAGAAAGGACTCAAGAACACATTGTAATGTACTAATATAAAGATAGCTAAATTGAGGTTTTTATGAAAAAAGCTTAAAAATTATGACTTGAGGACAGCAGGGTTTTTTGAAAAATATATATATAGCAGTTTTATTGAGATATAATTCACATTCCATACAATTCACCTATTTAACGCATGCGATTCAACGATTTTTGGTGAACTCATGGAGATGGGCAAGCATCGCCATAACCAATTCTAGAAAGTTGTTATCTCAAAAAGAAACCCTGTACCTCTTAGCAGTCACCCCCACCCCTCATTTCCCCCTTGACCCCTTTAGCCCTAGGCAACTACTGATTATTTTACTTTCTGGTTCTATGGATTATTCTGGACGTTTCATATGGACAGAATCATCCAGTATGTGGTCCTTTGTGACTGGCTCCTTTCACTTAGCATAATTTGCAAGGTCCGTTCAGATTATGGCACGTGCTTACAGCTCACTTTGTTCCTTCATTGCCTAATGAGATTCCACCATATGGAAACGGGATGTTTTATGTCTCCCTCAGAAGTGTTGCTGGCATATGAAACTAGGTAGTCGAGTGGTAGAGCCAGCTTGTCTAAGGTTACTTTGGACCCCTGATGGAACACAGTGGAAGGATATCTTCATCTCCAAACTCTGAATGACCATGATGTGCATTCCTCTGCTCTCACTATTAAATTGGCAAATCTTTCAGAATTGACAAGTCCTATTAAGAGTCTTTTTCCATATACTTTACATTCACATCGTCAGTAGTTTGAAGGGAGTGTTTTTAAACATACTCATTGTTTTTGAGCATTCTGTGATCATTTATTTTCTTCCTGGTATTGGGTAATGACTCAGTCTACTATTATTCCTGAAGGGCATGAAACTAAGAGATTATCACTTTTAAATGCATCCCGACGTTTGACCCCAGGTGGGTGGCAGGAGAAAAATCTTCAAGACCATGTTCAGGTCGTGGTGTCCTGATTTTTGATTTGGGGACACATTTAGTTACTACCACACTACACTGGATTATTGAAAGAGTAGAAGATTGCATTGGTTTGTGTCTTCTCCTTCAAAAACCAAAATTCCTAATTCTGATGACATGTCCTTGGGAGATATTTTAGGCGAATGGTAGAGAATTGGTTATTATTAAATTTTGCTCTTTTCTGGGAGCCTTGACATCCTTAATATTATCTGCATACATCTCTGTTTGAGTCACTGACCTAAACTCATGGTCCCCGTCCCCCACCCCATTTGAGTCTGTAATTCTTTGTCAAGATTCTGGTTCCTTATAAAGAGACAGACATTGGTGAACCTTCAGATAAGACTTTTTTTTAAAAAACTGCAGTGATGAAATATAAAAAAAGAATGAATGGTTCAAAGGAGAAACTAACTCAAAAATTCTGAAGTCTTTACCAGTTGAACAACAATAAATACATTTTTTTCTATCATGATCACCAAATGCTACTTCAATATTTATGGGCCATTTATTTAAAATAAAATAACTTTGGTGATGATTTTATTGATGTTCTTTGATCCTTTATTTTGCGTGGCAGCAGAGTGACACTGATAAATTCTTGAGTAAGTCTTTGAGCCTC